GGGGGGGGGCTCCCCCGAGAGTCTGCAGCAGCTCCGGCAGATCCAGAAACAGCAAATGGAGGAGAAGAAGGTAAGGCTGACCCACCGGGGCAGGCCGGGCCCCCCGAAAAAGAAAAGAAAAGCAGCTGACACGCCTCCTTTTTTTGTAAAATGTTCTTTTAACATTGTGATCTTGGTTGTGCAAAAGCACTGGAGCTGTAACAAACATATTGCTTTTTCCTTTGTTCCTGCTTTTAACTGTGTTTTAACCTTTTAAAAAAAAGTTGTTTGCTTGTTTTTTTTATGCTGTTTTATGCTGTTCTTTTATTCAAAATGTCTTGTCTTAATGTAAAGCACATAGACTTAGACAGAACTTTATTGATCCCTTGGGAAGACTCCCTCAGGAAATTAAGGTTACCAGAAGATACTGGAAAGGCAGCCGTCTCCACAGCGCCAGAATCCATTTTTCTTCAGAACAAAAAGTTGCCGCTTGGTATGAAGTTGCCGCTTGGTATGAATTGCGCGATATAAATAGAAATGCCTTGCCTTGCCTCCTCCTCCTCCCCCAGAGGGTCCAGATCCAGGAGCAGCAGCAGGAGCTGCAGTGGGACCGCGCCCGGACGGAGGCGGCCCGCCGGGCGCTGCTGCTGGAGCGGCAGCAGGCCCGGAGGGGCCGCCAGCTCAGGAAGCACCTGGACAGCACCAACGTCCAGCTGGCCCGGGCCCAAAGGGAAAGGTCAGTCAGAGAGCTGAGGTTCAAAACACTCGAATTCGTCAAAAGTGGAAAACGCGAATGGACGACACAGACTCTGAAGTATAAGCTGTTTTGCAAAGAGGGAAGAGCTGATGCAGCCTATCGCCAGCTCTGCATCCCAAACACTCTTCGACTTTTGCTTTCCCCTCTTGGCTTTTTTTTAGACTGAAAACAAGGCATAATACCAAAGGCATACAGTGGGGGAAAACAGTATTTGGCCCCTTGCTGATTTTGCAGGTTTGCCCACTTACAAAGAATGCAACGATCTATAACTTTAATCATATGTTCATTCTAACAGTGAAAGACAGAATTCCAAAGAAAATTCCAGAAAATCACATCATGTGAATTTATAAAAATTGATAACCATCTGATGAGGAAAAATAGGCATTCTTTGTAAGTGGGCAAACCTGCAAAATCAGCAAGGGGTCAAATACTTATTTCACCCACTGTACCTTATCTTTGGACATTTTTGTAGAAAGGATTGTCATATCTCGCATCCTCATTGGAGCCCAGGAAGCACAGCTGCAAGGACAGCTATGCTGTTTTCCTTTTTTCATGTACATCCTAAACTTATGACCTTCCGTGAAGTTAGAAAAGAGTAAATGGAAAAATCATGCACATTGCTTATTAACTCATTGACTGCCAGCCATTTTCAGAACAGAGTCCCATACTGCCAGAGTTTTTTGAGCATTTTGACTGATTTTTCAAGAGCCACAGCATAGTTTGTGCTATGTCTATGTAAACACCGAACACACCAAAAGAAAGAGTAGACTCTCTTCTTTCATCAGGAAAAAAAATGTGTTTCTACCTTATTCCATTCTTTCCCAACTTGCGTCTCACCGGCGACATGTTCTCTCATAGCGAACCGTTACGTTTTTCTTATTTGCCAACAGTCTATGCTTATTTCCCATCAAAAGTGGCACTGCCACCTAGAGGGTCAATTTGTTACTACATACTCTGTTTAGAAGCCGATATTTACGGACAAGCTTTAGCCGATCGTCCCACAAGCCACTCGCGTTGAAAAACATAAAAGACGTCTATAGACGTCTTTGGCAGCCAATGAGTTAAAGGTTAGCAGGTAAAATTATTTACAGCATTTAAAGATAAAGGCATTTTTACATAAAGTTTCATATTACTTTATCAGACAGCGGTCGGCCAGAGGCACCAGACCGGGCCTCACCCCGTCTCCCACCCTCTCTTTTTTTTAGCAAACCGGACCTAGAAAGAGGAACGGTTGACGAGAGCTTCTTCTCCCAGTTCAACACCTGCAGCAGATGAGGGCGGACGGACGGACGGCGAGCAGCGAGGGACAAACGACCAATAAACAGAGCCACGCCGTCCAAGGCCGTTTAATGTGGAGCCAGTCTGTCAGCAGGTTTTACAGCAGCAGAAACACATTTGCATGACGCTGACGGCCGTTTACAGGAACAGAAAACACAACCGGGAGACCACATGGTTCCACATCCGGGGTAACAGGGGTAACAAAGCAAAAACAGTGGCGGTCACAGACACACGCCGGCCACAAATCACAGGTTTTTGCAAAAACAAACACGCTGTCTCACACTTTTACCGCCCCGCATGAACATCTATGAATCAGGATAAGCACACGCTAAGACATCAGTAGTAAAGCGGGACATGATTTTTTTTATTTTTTTACTTCACATTAGCTGGTTATGAGGTGGAACAGAGGCCCGTTTCAGCTCCGTCTCCCAATGAAGACCCTCTCACAGTCACCCTTAAATGAGATGAGACATTTAGAAGAGACCCGTCCACCGATATGAACATCTCCAACCTCGTTCCGATGCAGCTGTGTTACAGCTGTATTTAATATGCAGGAATATGCGACTGAAAATAGTTCTACAGTGGAAATCCCCTGACCAAGCCAAGGTGTCGGGCTGGCTCAGGGAAGTCATGCTTTTTTTCTGAACTAGAGAAAATTATTGTAGTATTTCACTAGAGGTTCAAAAAGGAAATTTCACAAAATGTGGGACCCTTTGATTTTGTACTCTGAAAGCCTCGATACCCCCCATAAGTCAGCACAGCCTTGTTTTGTTTTATACATGGCTGGGTGAGTGGGTGGGGGTTTTTTTATTTAAAAACTAAATTAAGAAAATGAATTTCAAGACATTGTCTTTAGATGCATTTAAATGCATCATACTACCTTTCTTGAATAAAAAATATGGTTTAAAAAATGTTTTTAAAAAAACTCCCCCGCATTCAGCGGCTTCACAGGAATAGTTCAAATGTCTCCGTGCGGGTGGGAGACGTCGTCCCTCGGTGGGTTTGCAGGAATCAGACGGCCCGACGGGCCTAGAAGCTGTTCTCAGAGACAAACTTGCTCCAGCTCCTCAGCCACATGAAAACGGCTTTGTCCCGCTGGCCCGCGGGCAGAGAGCTGAACCTGGGGGCAGACGGGGGAAAGGGGAGAGATTATAGTCCCAATCCCAACCAGGCCTCACCTGAGGGAGCTTATAGTCCCAATCCCAACCGGCTTCACCTAAGAGAGTTTATAGTCCGAACCGGGCCTCCCCTGAGGTGAGTTTATAGTCCCAACCGGGGCTCACCTGAGGGAGTTTATAGTCCCAACCGGGCCTCACCTGAGGGAGTTTATAGTCACAACCGGGTCTCACCTGACGGAGTTTATAGTCCCAACCAGGCCTCACCTGAGGGAATTTATAGTCCCAACCAGGCCTCACCTGAGGGGAGCTTATAGTCCCAACCGGGCCTCACCTGAGGGGAGTTTATAGTCCCAACCGTGCCTCAGCTGAGGGATTTTATAGTCCCACCCGGGCCTCACCTGAGGGGAGCTTATAGTCCCAACCAGGCCTCACCTGAGGGATTTTATAGTCCCAACCGGGCCTCAGCTGAGGGATTTTATAGTCCCAACCGGGCCTCACCTGAGGGAGTTTATAGTCCCAAC